CATTATCTCTCTCATTGGTCCGAACACCAGTACTACGCGCTCCATTAAGAACTGTGCGATCTCCTTCGCTTGGTGTTGAGGTACGGCAACCGCCACAGCGTATCGGGTGGTATACTCCACTGCAGCAACCACATATCGATTGCCATGCACAGTTTCAGGTAGGGGACCAGCAACATCAATGGCCCAGCGATCACACACGTCTCCAGTTCGAACGCTTCGTAATGGCGGTACCACTACCTTTGGTCGAGCTTTCCGGGACCCGCAGTCTTGACAGGCAGCAACCCAGTCGCGCACGGCTTCCCGTTGTTGTGGCCACCAGTACATCCGTCGCACCCGTTCCAATGTCTGTGGGCCTCTCAAATGACCAGCCCAGATACTGTCGTGCGCTTCTTTAAAGGCTAACGCCCAGAAAACTACCGGCAGCACGATTCTTTCTTCGTCTGCAGCCAGTTTTACGTAGACTAATCCGTCATCTTTGGTGTACACTTCCAGTCCTCGGTACATGCCCTTCTCCAAGAGTGTCTGCACCATCACCGACTTCTGTTGCTCCTCCTTGATATCAGCATCCGTGAACTGCACAATTCCTAACTCGCTTGCTTCCACTCGCCGAATGAACGCAGCACGTGTTTCCTGATCAATTTTCGCTGCCAACTCGTCGCTACTACCGCAACTGATATCATCCTTAAGAGCTTCGGCAACTCCACGTGACTGACGCACCATACTAACAGCTCTCTTCCGCTTCCTACCACTCACATTGCTGTTCTTCTTGTCACCGGGCCCGATGGCCAATTCTTCAGCTGCATCACATTCAGTCCCAGGCTGCTGACCACTGTTTTTCACTGGGTTTCTGGATAAAGCATCTGCCACTCGGTTCTCGTGTCCCGGGCGATACTCAATTTTGAAGTCGTACTCCTGTAGGGTCAGTGCCCACCGGTGAAGTCGTCCGGCCGGTTCCGTCGCTGTCATTAACCACTTCAGCGCGATGTGATCCGTCACTATGGTAAATCTGCGGCCATATAAATGTGGTCGAAACAAACGCACTGCCCAGACAACTGCCAAACACTCCAACTCGGAAATGCTATAGTTTGCTTCTGCAGGACTGTTCACCTTCGAGGCATACGCAACGGGTTGATCCCCGTGTCCTTGGTCTTGCGATAACACAGCTCCTAGTCCAGTCTTCGACGCATCGGTCGTCAACTTGAACGGCAAAGCGTAGTTCGGGTAGATCAGCACAGGCTTCGTACTCAACCAAGCTTTAGCCCAAGCAAACGCTTCTTCTTGTTCCGCTTCTCACTCCCACGGGATCACCTTACGTAGTAATTTTGTAAGTGGAGCCATCTTCGTGCCAAATTCTGGCATAAATCGTCGATAGTAGCCAGCTAACGCCACAAACCTTCGTACTTCAGCTTCTTCTGTAGGCGTGGGGAAATCCTTTACGGCTTTCACTAGTCGCTCAGTAGGTTTGATACCGTCTGGGGTCAAATCATGTCCGAGATACTCCATCTGCGTGGTAGCGAAGCTGCACTTGCTTACCTTCAAACTCAAACCAGCGTTCGACAGTCGTTCTAGTACAGCAGCGAGTTCCACTACATGCCGTGCCACTGAGCCTTTAGTGAATATCACCACGTCGTCTAGATAAACCAAGCAACTAACCCACGTTATTCCTCGCAGCACGCAGTCCATAAGTCGTTGAAAAGTACTAGGAGCGTTGCATAAACCAAAAGGCATTCTCGTGAACTGGAACAGCCCACGCCTCGTTGTAAACGCCGTCTTCACCTTGTCGTCCGGTGCCACCGCTAACTGCCAGTATCCTGCATGAAGGTCCAGGCTCGTGAAGCGCCTCGACCCGCATAGAGCCTCTAGCGTCTCATCCACTCTCGGTAATGGGTACACGTCTTTAACTGTAATAGCATTCAGAGCTCGATAATCGACACAAAACCGCACACTGCCATCCTTCTTCTTCACCAATACTACTGGAAATCCCCAGGCACCTTG